GCACGGGGGTAGCTCTGCGTCTGCCCCGGATCTCGCTCGGCCTCCGCCCCGCGCCTCACCCACCTGCCCCTTCCCCTCTCCGTTCCTCCTCCGCCGCTCTCTGCCCGTCCGCCCCAGCGTCAGGCCGTCTTTGCTGGCTCCGGGCTGGATTCCGGTGAGTGTCTGCCTGTACTTCACGGTCATCACTGGCTTTCACTCTCATCACTGGCTTTCACTGTCATCACTGGCTTTCACTGTCCCTGCTCACTGGAGAGAGGTTGTCCCGTTCATCCCCCTGTCCGTCCTGCCTCCCTGCTCCCTCGAGGACTCGCACCCTCTTTGCTCTGACCACCCTCTCAGTGTGATGACGGGATGGGCATTTTTCTGGAGGTCCCCGCCCTGTCACCCCAGAGTGGGAACTGAAGAACTTGAGGCAAATGTGTCTGAGCCAGAGAGATGTACACGGATGGATCTGCAGTGGAGGACAGTGCCTTTCACCTCCTGAGACCTGGCCAGAAGACAGACAGATAGCGACCTGTCTTCACAAGCTGCCCCATGAACATATCCTCACACATGCTTTCTGTTATGCAGCTAAATTCACACGCTGGGAAGGGGACCTGCTCATTCCTTCTAAAATGGACCCCTCCACTTGTCTGTTCATCCATCACAACACAAATTTTGAGGTCTCTTTGTTTGTCTACCTATGCATCCCAGAATGGACCTCATCCAGCCATGGATGGATAGACATGTATTATTCATCCCAATACAGTCCCATCCATCCACTTTCACTTTCACACCTTCTTCTTTTCATCTTCCTTTGCTATTCCCCAGTTCTCATCAAGATTCTCCCATGGTGGGGGTAGGGTGCACACCTCAATGCAGAGATGCTCCTGGTGTCATCCCAGTGCTCATGAATAGACATTTCTAAACCCTGGGGTTTGCTCTGGCTGCTCATGGTAGGTTGGGGCTTCCAGCTATGTGTGTAGGACTGGGGAAATAACGAGGAATCCTTACCAAATAAGGCCTGCCTGGTGGTTTCTGTGGATCTCTCATCTTATGAGATACCTTTCTTGTCTGCAGGTCTCCAGAAATGTGGCGACAGAGCTTTGGACTTCTAGAAAAATCCTACTCCCATGACAGTAAGCTGGGGAATCAGACAACTTAGGGACATTTGGGGGCTGGGAAACGCTCCCAAAGGGGAACAAAGAAAGGAGGACGACAGGCAGCCATAGGAGGAAATATCAGGGCTGGGTCTTCCCAGAGTAAAACAAGGATGAGACTGGTCAAGAGCTCTACAGGAACCAAGTGGGAAGAGAGGCATGGGGAAAAGGAAAGCTGGGGTGGGGGACAGTGTTCTATGGCAGGCTCACAGTAGACCTTCCATAACACTGGTCACCTAGTCTTTGTTTCTGGGGTAGGAACAGCCACATCCTTGAAGCAGCCCCAGCCACCTCCTTGTGTCATTCATGTGTGCTGGTGGACAGGTTGCTTCTCATTCAACAGCAACAGGATCCTTTTTGCTGGGGAAGTGGCTCCATGTACCCCTGTGCACAGTGCCTCTGTGTAATGCTGTGGTGGATGTTGCCATCGAAGATTACGTGGCTGATGTGGTCTCTGAACTCATCTATCAGAACAAGAGTCAGATCTCCACAGAAGTCCTTTTTGTCTTCCCCCTTGGCCCCCACATGGCCATCTACTCCTTCCAGGCCCACAGTGAGGATGCCAAGGTCCAGGCCATGCTTCAGGTACCAGAATCCAGGGACAAATGGGTGAACCACCACAGGGGCATGGGATGAGCAGCCAATAGCCTGCCTGCTGATCAACTTTCTGTCCCTCCCCTCCCCACCCAGGCCCAGCAGCTGCAAAAGGCTACAATAAGCTGGGATAATCTGGAATACCTCCAGGACCAGTCTCAGTATCCAGGTGAGGTGTTTGTCTGCTTCCTGGGCACCCTGTACCCTGGCAAGGAGATGGTTGTGACCTTGCGCTATGTCCAAGAGCTGTCACGGGAGCCAGATGGAGCAGCTCATTTTGTGCTGCCACCCACAATGCATCCCCACAGAACACGTTATGGTGAGTGATCCCACAAGGAACCTGCCCTCCCAGTCACACACCCCATAGGAGGGACACAGACTCCCCAGGGACTTTACAAACAGACTCGGTGATCTTCCCTCTGAAGCCACAGGGGCACCCACATTTTTCCCCCATGCAGCCCCCAGACAGACCCACACATCCTTCCTTGTGACCCTTGAGGGGAGCTGCAATCCCCACACACATGTCCCATAAACAGACTCATGGACCCCTCCATACACTTCATTCACAACCCCCAATTCTCTCTATTTGTCCTATATAGATATACACAATTGCCAAATCCTGCCCCCGTCCAGACCCCACCCCTGCAGATAGAGCCTTTGCCTACCCCAGCCTTTGCTGACCACTTGGCCAAAGAGGAAGGGTATTATCATTAATGGGCAGAGCAGCAACCAAAGCCCTCCCTCCACTCTTAAATCATACACAAACAATCCAACATGCTGGACCACTGGAAGGAGGAATAAATTAACACACTCCCTCACTACAAAAGATGTGAAGAAGGGAGCAAGCTGTCAGGAACCATGCCACGGGAGATGGAATGACCCAGGCAATCAGTCCAGTTACACAGAATTTTCCCAGAGAGAGACTGATGATCTTCTCCTGCCACCCTGGAAACTATGCTTCCGAGGAAGAGTCAGGGAGCCCTTTCAAAAACCAGAAGCCACACACGCTATATAGTCAGAACACCAAACTGCACCACAAGCAGAGTCAGCTCTTATAGAAGTGGCTTCTTGCCTCGCCTCCAAGTTATTGTGGAAGGTGGGGGCACCTGGTGGTAATATCCAAACCAGTTCTCACCCAAGGCTGGCCAGACCCTGGATGAAAACAAATTAGGAGGGTCTTTCTTCCCTGGTTGTGGACATCATCTGTATGCCAACCTTCAGTCAGGGTTGGGGGTTTAACCCCAGCACTTTACCCAGCGCCACGTTTCTTCTCACAGCCTGGAACTGTCTCACAGGTAAGCTGTCCTACAGCCTGCTGTTCACTGCTAGCCTGCAGTCACCCCGTGGAGTGGCCAATGTCAAGGGCAACTTCTGCCTCACTCCTCTGATCTACAAAGCCCAGGACTGCAGCACTGCACAGGTATGGCCTCCCAAGTGCCAGGCTCCTGGGGGGGGCTGGGAACGGGTGGCATCACTGAAAAAAAGGGGATGCACTGGGATCAGTGCCTGTGCTCCTGGCCCAGTGTTGGGCTTGGTCCCCTCTTCCTGTGCATGACCTTGTACTCCTTCTCCAGGTCTCACTGGCTGGCAGCCCCCCAAGTTGTGATTTGGAGCTGCTTGTGTATTTTGGAGAACCTACTGTAATCAGTGCCATGGTGGAGAAGGGAGACCCTGGGGCTCTCCCTGGTGAGTGCAGCTGGGGAGGGAACACGGAGGAACCTCTGTGTTGCAGGAGGCATGGGAGCATGGGGACACTCTAGGGGTTCTGGGGGGCAAGAAATCATTGGACACTGGGATGGGAATGGGAGGCATTCAGATGAGGTAGTTTGGGTGCTGCGGTTCCAGGGTGGGTGCATTCTGGTGAGGTAGCAGATGGAGCAGGATGCACACAGGATGTTTTGTGTCAGGGCTCACTGGGTAGGTCTACTGGAGACGCTGGGCTGGAATATGTGGGGCACTGGGCTGTGTAGTTGGTGGACACTACAGTAGAGTATTGAGGTACTAGTGTGAGGTGTCACAGGCTCTAGGATAGTGGAAGCTGAAAAAAGCACAATGAGAATCAGCACCAGGATGAGGTGGGAGTCCCTGTCTGGCCTTCATCCCATCCCACCTCCAGGCTCCCTTCTTGGTGACCCCATGGTGTTGGTGACACTGGCACCCAGCATCCCTGAGGCAATGCCTGGGCAGCGCCAGTCTGGAGAGTTCATCTTCGTCTTGGACACCACTTTTCTTAAGCATGCACAGGTATGCCCACAGAGCTCGGGCCAGGGTGGGGTTGGAGGAGCAAGTTGAGGAGAAGCAGGCCAGGGTAGGCATTTAGAGGGAGAGGGACTGAGATGTAAAGAGGGACTGGTGGGACCTGAAACGGTTCTGAAATATCTCAGGTGCCATGGGAAATTCAGGGCACTGGCTCAGGTCATCCAGGGGAGTCCAGAGGCTTTGAGGAGGACCAGACAGTGGGCAAAGGTATCTGTACCCCCTATCAGTGCCTCCTAAGACCTGCCTTTCTCACAGGACTCCCTGCTCTTCCTTCTCAAAAGCCTGCCCCTGGGCTGTTACTTCAACATCTACTGCTATGGAGAAACTTCTGAAACCTCAGTGGGCATCTACCCGTGAGCAAACATGGGGCATGGCTGGGTGCTGTGGGGCTGGAATGGGTGGTACGAGGCAGGGTTAGATGCCAGAGGGCTGGTTGGTATGGGGTAAGGTTGGGTGCTGGAGAGCAGGACTGGACAGTGTAGGCCAGGGCTGGATTCTGGGGATGGGATCTTTGTGAGATTATGGGGTAGCAACTCCTGAGGTTCTGTTGAGTGGAGTCTTGTAGGAACTACAAAGCAAAGGCTCTTCAAGAACTATTACGGGGCAAGGACTTGCAGAGGACCCTCGGGCTTAGCTGTGGGGAGTGCTATGGGGCAGGGTCTCAGGAAGCACTAGGGCCAGCGTGGAGCAATGTCCTCTCCAAACATGCTTGTGCTCCCTGCAGGCAAAGTGTCGAATATACTCAGGATAACCTGACAGAGGCTCTGCAGCTCCTCCCCTCCCCCGCCTCCAGTCTGGGTGACTCCAACCTCCTGGGAACCCTCCGCTCCATCTACAGCACCCCCCGCCCCCGCGGGCACGCGCGGCAGGTCTGGGTGCAGGGCATGGGGGGAGGGACGAGTGACCTGGGGGAGAGAGGGGACACAGGAGCATGGGTGAAGGAGCCACCCGGGGCATGTGGTAGCCACAATGGAACCAGAACAGTACCGTGGGGTGGGGGGAATGGAGAAGCGAGCGTGCGTGCCGGGGGGACAGAAAGCCCCTGAACGGGTATCTCTGCCTGGGGTAGCGTCTCTGCAGGGGTTCCCTCTCCTGGGTCTCTCTCTGTGGAAAGCCCCAACACTCGTGTCCTGTCTGGCAGCTCTTCATCTTCATGACTGGGCTGCCCCCTGAGCAGGAAGCCATCGCAGCTGAGGTCAGCCGGCAGCGCCACAGCCACCGGTAACGGGGACTCCCTGTGCCCAGTCCCCCAGTCACCCTGTGGTTCTTCAGTCATTTCCATCCCTGATGAGGTCCCCTGCTCACCAGTGCCTGTCACAATCCTCGGGTCCCCCCAGTGTCCCAAAGACCCTTCCCACGCTGCACAGCTTTCCTGTGCCAAGCTCCCACGGGGAGTCTTTGCTCACTTCTCCTACAACCAGGGCACCCTTCACAGGGTAAGCAGGGATTCTGAGGCACAGGGCTTGTACACCCTGATGTGCTCCCAGGTTCTGCCCCAGCCCCACTAGACTGACCCCAGCTCTGCCCCAAGTCCTCTCTCTCCTCTGCCAGCCCCTGTCTAACCCCAACTCCAACCCTAGTCCCTCACTCCCTACTCTTCTTCCTGCCCCCTTGTTCTGCACCCCAGTTTTCTTCTGCCAGCTTTAACTCCAGCCTGTGTTCTCCAGTTCTATCCTTGCACCCACCTCTGGCTCTCTTTTTTGACATCTCTCCCTACTTCTCCCATAGGTGTTTCTCCTTCTGCTTCTCTGAGGACAGTGCTGCCCTGGCTACGGCCCTGGCCAGAGAGACAGGGGGTGAAGCTACTTATGTCTCCTCTGACAACAGTATGACAACTGTGGTAGGAACCCAGGAGCCCTGGCAGGTTCCTGTCCCTGTCTCTATCCCACAGACACACTGACTTCCCAGTACCCCAGCACCTGGACTGCCCACACAGAGTAGTTGAGGACAAGTTGCCCAGGAACCTGGGCACTCAGGCTTCCCCTGACACTACTGCACCACCCCACTGAGAACCCAAGGTGCCTGGGCTTCTGCCCTGCCATAACCCACAGACCTGACTGTGCCCAGGGAACCCAGCTGGTGCAGGCTACCCCACACATTCCGCTGTCCCCCAGGGAACACTGACATCAGGGGCCATTGGCTGAACCCTGGTGGAGATGTGAACTGTGGTGTCTTTCCCTCTGTCCCCAGGTGCTGAAGTACCTCAAGCAGGCCTTGAAGCCAACAGCTGAAGGAGTCTCTCTGAGCTGGACCCTGCCCCGTGGCCTGGAGATTGAGGTGCTGGGGGGCATTCCTCAGTCTATCTTTCATGGTCAGCACAGCCTCCTCTATGCCCAGATCCATGGACAGGCACAGGTGAGAGCTAGGACTACAGTCACCCCTGTTAACTCCCAATAGCCTCCCAGTAACCACCAGTAACTTCCAGTAACTTCCCAATATCCCCCAGTAGCCATCTTGTGTCCTCAGTAACCTCCAGTATCCTCCCACCTGTTCCCAGGATACAGCGGTGACCAAGGGGGTCATGACATTGCAGTACAGCTGGGATGGCCAGGACGTCACTCACACCACTGAATTCCCACTGTGCCCACAGGGAGATGGCCGGTGAGAGCCTGAACTAAGGGAAGGTGTATCCCTCTCATTTCTAACATGGGCTCCAGCCGAGAGGAGGCCCAGACAGCTTGTTCATTCACACCTTCCCAAACTGATCCCAAACTGTCAGAGAACCCAGGTGTCCAAGCATGCCCTCCTTCCCTGCTTTGGCCTCACAGGAGTAGGACCCAGGAACCTGGGCATCACTGCCCTCCAAACAGTTGAGGACCCAGACATCCAGGTTTTCCCTTTGTCCATCCTCACCCCTGAAGGGAGAGAACCCAGCTTTCCACTCTCCCCCAGCATGGAAGCACATCAGCTGGTCAGGCCTCACCCCAATGTGTCTCTAGGCTGGCTGGGCATCGTCTGGCTGCAAGATTCTTGCTGGAGCAGTTGCTTCCAGAGGCTGCAAGTGGGGCAGGGGATGAACCCAGGCATCGTGCAGTGGAGATCAGCCTCACTTCAGGGATCATCTGCCCCTTTACCAGCTACGTGGGATTTCGCACATCCCAGAGGGGCACCTGGTACCGAGGTAAGGAAAGACACGTGTGGGAAAGAGCTGGTGGGGCAGCTCCGTGGGATGTTCTCATTCCACTGGAACTGGAGCCCCAGCCATGGGGCATGCCCAGTCTCATTGGATAGGCCCCATCACTACCAGGTGTTTTTTTCCCATGTGCTCAACTCATCCCCTTTCCCTCTTTGTCCTCAAAGGGCCCCTGGCACTGTTGCCACCGCGCCAGTCACACATCCCCTGCCAGATTGTTGAGCTTCGTGGCTCCCTTGAAGTCTCTTCCTGCCATCCTAAGAGCATCTGGATCCCACCTGGCTGGATGACAACAGCACGTCAGTCATGGCTTGCCCTCCGCCGACTCACCCAAGGCATTGCAGCCCTGCCCCGGCGGGGGGCTTGTCCAAAATGTATGGAATAATGTCCCATAGGGGGGATATGTTGCCATGTCTTGCCCATGGTGTGGAAACCAATGAATTTTGCCTTTAACCCTTCCTTTTGTTACCCTTAAACCTGAATGTCTTTCAGCAAATATGAGACCCAGCTCAGGGACACCAAGGGGGGGGACAGGGATGGTGTTGGATCATAAATACACATTCAGATAAGATGTGTTGGCAGGAATATTAAGAGAGGGCTTTGGAATGCCAGGAGAAGAGGCAATGGTCAAAGCTGGGGATGAGTTACAGGTGCCCAGAAAGTGCTGTGGATCAAACTGCTTTGGGGACATGCAGGAAGGAGCTTAGACTGCAGGTAGCAGCCCAAAGAAGAGCAGAGATAATGTTCTGGGCTATTGCACAGGGGAGTAGAGAGGGGTCACCTTCCTGTGATTCTCCCAACCCTCCTGTTCACATCTTCTCCCGCAGCATGTAATCCACCACCACCTATTTCTTCTCTCAAGTATGTGGACACCAGGCTATTTGTTTTGAGTTCTCCGATGACTGGGCCTTGGTTCATGGCAGGTGTTGCTGAGTGCCAGGAGCTGGTGGCACTGCAGAATGCAGATGGCTCCTGGGCACTCAGCTCAGGACTGGCCTCTGCGCTGCAAGTTGATGAGGCTGAAATCAAGGGGAAGATGCCTGGTGAGGTAAGGGGAGAATCTGTTATGATAGCAACATGTCATCCTGGGGCAATGGGAACCCCTGGTCTGGTGGCAACACTGGCATTCCAAGGGCAACCAGAGAGGAATGAAGGCATCAGAAACCAGAAGCCACAAAGGAAGGGGTGGGAAGCAAGGGAGGGGGGCAAGAGAGACGCTCAGCACTGCATGCTAGTCTGAGTTCTTCCACAGGCCGTGGAGGCAAGCATTTGGGCCACAGTGCTGGCTGTGACCTGGCTGCACAGCCAGAAGTATTACCAAGACGTCTGTGAGCTGCTAGGGGCCAAAGCTGTGACCTGGCTTTGTAGCCGGGCTGGTGAGTCTAGAAGGTCCTTTCCTACTGATCCCCACAGCACAGCCTCCTCCCTTCTCTCTCCTGTGGGACCTGCCTCACCCCTTCACAGGACCACGATTTCCTGGGAGCAGGGGAAGGAGTCCTGTGTCCCCTCTCTCCTTCCCACCAGTGGACTTTCCCTCCTGTCTGACTCCCCTAGTGCCCTTGTCTCTCCCTGATTGCAGTGTCACAGCTGGACAAGTGTCTGGAGGCAGCCAACACCCTCCTTGGGAGCAGTGTGAAGCCAAGTATCTTCAGGCTTTGAGCTCAACGCATGCCTTGTGCTACAGAGAAGCGGCACCTGCAGAGTTAAAAAGGATCCAAATCCACCTACCATGCTGGGATACCACTGCTGCTATCAGCTGGCTTCTTACAGTACAGATGAATTCTCACTGCCTATGTCTTAGACTAGTTGGGATGAGCCTATATCATACTGAACTCCTCAAGAAAAAGCTCTAGCTCAGAGCCTCCAGCGTGTTTGGTTGAAGTGGAGGTGGGAGTGGGAAGGAAGCATCACACTGCTCTGTGGTTGCCCCTCCAGAATTCGGCTTTGGCAAAATGGGCTACTGGCCTCCACAGAGATGGTGCTTAGGGACATGGCTTAGTGGTCAACTTGGTACTGTTAGGTTAGTGGTTGAACTCTATGGTCTTATGGGTCTTTTCCAACCTAAATGATGCTAAGGTTTCTGCTTTGACAAGAGACAAGTCAAGAGATGTGCTGTGCACATTAGAAAAGATGAGTGTCTGGAGGTATCAGCAATAGGCACAATAGTAGTGGCTCCCAATGAAGGACTCCTGCTGCGCCCGACTTGCTGACCTCTGTTTTGCCCCAGAAGACTAGGCTGTGTCAGGAACTCCCATACCTCCATTGCCACGTAAAACAACAACTTTGACAGTAGCACTCTCATCTACATCAGGCCCAGCCCATCATAATGCCCAAGAGAACTCATATGGGGCAAGATCAGCATGGTGGAGGTGGAACTGCAGGAGCTTTTGATTAGCAAACCAGCCATGCATTGTACTCCCTCCTGTCCCAGGGTGCTGAATTCATGTGTCTCACTTCATGTTTGGTCTCTGATTTTCCAATAAACACAATGTTCTGTAAGCCAAAAGGTGCAACATAGCCTTTATTTCATTTAGGCCTATGAACCTTCCTTCCAGGGGTCATCCATGAATCGCCAGGAACGACACGACAGTGCACTGCTTCCCAGAGAGCTGTGTATTGTAGTACTCTCAATAACGTGCTGCCATTACTCTTGGAAGAGCACAGACCTGTTCTAGGTTAGCAAGAAAAGAGCTAAGGACTTGCCAGGCTTTTTTTCTAGGTTACTTTTGGCTAGAACTTATTTCAGCTTGATCGTAGTGGCTATAGAAACACTTTGCCCAGCAGATAGATGACTGATGTCTAACTTATCCTAGCTGTAACAGAAAAGTTGTCAGCTAATTAGTGTGCATCTTGGTTTTAACTTATTAGCTCCATTGGAGCATATGAGTCTGATAATAAAGCTGAATTCCAGGTGACTTTCTTCCTCCTCTGTCATTGTCTGTGCAGAGACTGCTTAGGAACATCTTCATTGCTGTGCTGGTGGCACACACCAGCATCTCCATATTAGTTTTTGGTGAATGTGAGCAGCTTGGACCTCTACTCCACTCCATTAACCTGCCCTGGCTAGTGGCAAACTTCCTGACTGGGGACAGGGAATCTCTGGCCAGGACCATAAGGCTGAGCTCTGTTTCTTTGGATCTCTTGCAGTCTCCGAGTGTTACCTGCTGGGCACCATGTCCTACAAGCAGTACCTGGCCCTATGTCACCCCAGACTCTATACAAGCATGATGAACCTGAGGGTGTTTTTCTAGGTGGCTCTTGGCTTGGGGGAATGACAGTCACTGACTTAGTTCCTGTTTGCTTAGAATCTGCAAAACCAACACATCTATTTGAAAACATGTGTCTTCTCAACTCCTTCCTTTGAAAACCAGCCTATTCAGCTAAGGAAAGTATGTGCTTTTGTGACTGCCCAGAGCCAGAACGTGCAAGGGGAGATATCTCAGGAGATTTGGCTTTTTAGTGTGAGCAAGGTCTGATTCATTGCCAGAAGGCTTATGAACAGTGGTGAACAGCAAGTTTCTCAGCTGTCTGGAGAAGTGGTACTAACACTTTCTGATATTAGCATTCATGTTGGCTGTGATCCTCCTCTTAAGACTTTGGGGACAGAACCTTTTCAGGTTATCCACCAAGATGCATGCAGCCCGCTGCAGCTGATTCCCAGGAGACTTTCAATGCCAATACCATGGGGTAACTCATGCATGGGCCTTTTTGCTTCCACTTCAGATAGGCCAAATCAGATTTCAGATCATACTCCCATTAAAAAAACAGATGTCCTAGGGGCCCAGAGGAATTGGACAGGGGTCACTTCCCAGGAGACCATGGTTTCCTGCGATGCGCTGAAAAAAACCGATAACCACGGAGACAACAACGTATCTGAGCTGGCTCACAGGAAGAGAAAGCTGGAGACAGAACTGGTGATGGGCCTTCTCAAATGCCAGCTCCCTGTACAGCCTGTTGTACTCCTTTTGGGAGCACCAAGTACTGGAAGAGCACATACGTCATTCGCATACAGGTGACACAGTGCTGTTAAAGGCCCTTGAAGTGGGAAGGGGATGCTGCATTTTTACTGTTCTGCTGCTTTGAACACTCTTTGTTTTCCTGACACGTTCCTATCAGTGGGAAAATTGCTGATAACAGGGACCTTACCAAAACTAAACCATTAGTGGGAGCAACAGGGAGGAGCAAAAGGGCTGGTTAATACTCTCAGAGTTCTTATGTGTTCTGTTGGCAATCCAAAGACCAGTTGGCCATTTTTCATGGTACTAATAACAATACTTGTAAAAATGTCCATTAGGCCACGATTGTCTTTACGCATCTTGCATATCGAGAGAGAAAGCAGCATCCTTAACATAAATGCAGCTGCTAGTAGTAAAGGCTCATCATCCAGCCCTTTGTCTGAGCCTGAGGTAAATGTTGAGTCTCTGCTGGTGGTGTTTTTACGGGCTCTGCTGTGAGCTGGCTGTGGTCAGAGCTGGAGCTTTTCTCCTCTGTAAAGAAGAAAAAGGGTCTGCTTTTAATCCCTGGGTGTTTGGGATAGCAAAAAAAGGATTTCAAGCAAATGACCCAAGGGTAGTGTGACAAATATCTGAGAAAATTCTGACTAATGTTTTGTGAGACTCTTTGACAACAACACTAATGGGAGCAGGGTTGTGTGTAGGAAGAAGAACTTGCAGGAGATGAAACTCTAAATTTCTCTTCTTGCAGAAGGAAATGCTTGGAACTTCAAATGGATGCTGTTGTAGCCGAGCTAGAGCAAAACCAAAGTGAGAAAAACTGCATGAGAGCTCTTATTTCAGTTTGAACCAGGACTGTTCTGTGGCAATGAAAATCCCTAGCCCTATGCTGAATCAAAACAAGCTGCTGCATTTTATTGGGAATATGGGTGGTTTGCTTAATAAGCACCTGAAGGCTAATTCAATCTTTTCTCAAATCATTTTTCTCCACTCTTTTGCATATGTGTATATGCAGCTATCTCCCTTTGTTTCAGCATGCCTGTGCATTTTTCTGCACAAAATACACTCCTGGCCCGTCCTGTCTGCCCCTCAGCAGTGTTGCCTGTTCACAGTCATCCATCAACCTCCACTCTTCCCC